CCTCTCCTCCAGCTAATGGTAGCTCTGGGAGAGAAATTTAGACATCATAAAGCACCATCCTGATACTTCCATGGGGAGGGGTGAGGAGGCCAAGATGCTTTGGTAAAAGAAAGGGAGCATTTCTTTAGCACTCCTAAGCCTTCTCAAAATTATTGACCCCATATTCAATTCTGATGGGTCACATGGTAGGGAGATGATGCTTCCTCCAAACGTTTCCCTAGGCTACCCATTTCAGTGATTCATTGTTCTTTCTCATCCTTCACCATTAGTTTTCATAAGATTTACCTAAAATTTTTTCAAGGTAATGTGACTGTCTCTGTGGAGATGTGAATCATCCTGCTTCCCTAGTACAGGTTGCTCTTATGCACCTTGAAGACCATTCACTTCTTGGCTATTACCAGAGAAATTTTCCATCTCACCCCCCCTTTTTCTACGGTCCATGTGGCTCTCCCCAGGTTTCTTTTTTCAAGGTTGAAACCATTGCCTTTAGGCTGTCTTTAATGAATAGAGTTGCTCAACTGGTTATCTTAGCTTTGTTTAAAATCTTGGGGGTGATCATAGTAGGTATAGTATCTAGATTGGGGTTTAACAGTATAAGGTGAATGAGGCAGGAATTTAAATTCCCAAGTTGGGCTTCCTGTTTGTATGTTGAAAACTGTACCTCCCCCCCCCCCCCCGCCCCCGGGTAGTCAGACCCTTGGTCTGAGGATTGCAGACTCAGGTTCATAGAGGACAGGAGGCCCAGGCCCTGTCAAAGTATGGATCAGAGGCAGGGCTAGAGGACCCTACGGAATCCATATCAGGCCCTGCCATCAGGCTTTGGAATTGCTGGGCTTGGTACCGGATGTGACCTACACTGACTTCCTGCAGAGGACTCAGGGCAGTGAGGCCTTGATCTGAGGAGTCCCGCCTTGGGTCAACAGAGGGAGGATCCCAGGGCCTGCCAGGGCTCAAGGTGAGGAACATGAGGGAGGAGAGAGGGAGCCTGCACTCTAGAACAGAATCATCCCACCCAGGGCGGATGACAACAGGTGATTTCTGTATCCGGGTCTCAGAGACTTGGGGGCTTTGGTATAGGGAGCGGGACCTCAGAAACGCAGAGGACCGGACCAAGTTCTGCCAGAGTCAACATTAGGATGTTGCAACCCTGGATCACATAACAGAGGGGACCCCACAGAAGCCCACCCTTGCTGTCAGCCCTGAGAGTCCCCAGGGTGGGATGACCACACGCAGTGTTTCCTGACTTCCACAAACAGGTCTGAGAGATCCTGGAGACATGGTATCAGGAAAATGGCCTCTGGTCCACAGAGGGGAGGGCCCAGGTCCTGCTGGAGTCAACCATGGAGGCAGCAGCAAGGTCATTAGGCCTCCGCCAGGCCCCGGCTGGGGGCTAACGACATCACCATGCCCCCACCATCCCCCCTCCCCCCCTTGTCGTTTGTTGATTTGTTGATGATAGCCAGTCTGACAGGTGTGAGATGGTACATCATTGTTGTTTTGATTTGCATCTCTTGGATGATTAGTGACTTTGAGCATGTTTTCATGTGTCTCTTGGCTTTCTGAATGTCCTCTTTCAAAAAGTGTCTAATTAGGTCCTTTGCCCATTTCTTTCTTGGATTGTTTATCTTCCTTTTGTTCAGTTGTATGAGTTCCTTGTAAATGTTGGAGATTAATCCCTTATGGGAGATAACATTGGCAAATACGTTCTCCCATGCAGTGGGCTTTCTTGTTTTGTTGATGGTTTCTTTTGCTGTGCAGAAACTTTTTATTTTGATGCAGTCCCATTTGTTTATTTTCTCTTTAGTTTCCAATGCCCTAGAAGCTGTATCGGTAAATATATTGCTATGACAAATGTCTGCTATTTTTTTTTCCTATGGCTTCTTCTAAGATTTTATAGTTTCCCCTCTTACGTTTAAGTCCTGTATCCATTTTGAGTTTATTTTTGTGTATGGTGTAAGTTGGTGGTCTAGTTTTACTTTTTTACAAATATCTGTCCAGTTTTCCCAACACCATTTATTGAAGAGACTGTCTTGTCTCCATTGTATGCTCTTGCCTCCTTTGTCAAATATTCATTGAGTATACTGGCTTGTGTCAATCTCTGGGTTCTCTGTTCTGTTCCATTGGTCGGTATGTCTGTTCTTGTGCCAGTACCAGGCAGTTATCAGAACAGTGGCTTTGTAGTATAACTTGATATCTGGTATTGTGATCCCTCAAACATTGTTCTTCTTTCTCAAGATTGCTGCAGCTATTCGGGGTCTTTTTTATTCTAGATGAATTTTTTCTAGGTCTTTCAAGTATGCTGTTGGTATTTAATGGGGATTGCGTTGAACTTATAGATTGCTTTGGGTAGTATGGACATTTTAATGATGTTGATTCTACCAATCCATGAAGCTGGTGTATTCTTCCATTTGTTCATGTCTTCCTCTATCACTTTTTTTAGCATCCTGAAATTTTCTGAGTATAGTTCCTTTGTCTCCTTGGTTAAGTTTATTGCTAGGTATCTTAATTTTTTTGCTGCAATGGTAAATGGGATTGCTTTTTAAATTTCTCTTTCTGTGAGTTCATTATTGGTGTATAGAAAAGTCATAGATATCTGGGTGTTAATTTTGTATCCTGCTACTTTGCCAAATTCATTTATTAAGTCTAGTAGTTTTTTGATGGAGTCTTTGGGATTTTCTATGTACAATATCATGTCATCTGAAAATAAGGACAGTTTTACTTCTTCTTTTCCAATGTGGATGCCTTTTATTTCTTCTTCTTGTCTGATCGCAATGGCTAGTACTTCCAGTACTTGGTTGAACAGGAGTGGTGAGAGTGGGCATCCTTGTCTTGTTCCTGTTCTTAGGGGAAATGGTTTTAGTTTTTGCCCATTGAGTATGATGTTGGCTGTGGGTTTGTCATATATGGCTTTTATTATGTTGAGTTATGATCCTTCTATTCCCACCTTGCTGAGAGTTTTTATCAAGATAGGGTGTTGGATTTTTTCAAATGCCTTTTCTGCATCAATGGATATGACTATATGGTTTTTATCTCTCAGTTTGTTTATGTGGTGTATCACAATAATTGATTTGCAGATGTTGTACCATCCTTGCATCCCCAGGTTAAATCCCACTTGGTCATGGTGTATGATCTTTCTAATGTATTGCTGAATTCGATTTGCTAAAATTTTGTTGAGGATTTTGGTGTTTATGTTCATGAGAGATATTGACCTGTAATTCTCTTTCTTTGTATTGTCTTTATCTGGTTTTTGGATTGGGGTATTGCTGTCTTTGTAGAAAGAGGTTGGAAGTGCTCCTTCCTCTTGAATTTTTTTTTAATAGTCTGAGGAAGATAGGTTTTATTTCTTCTTTGAATGTTTGATTAAACTTCCCTGTGAAGCCGTCTGGTCCAGGGCTTTTGTCTGTTGGAAATTTTTTTATTACTGCTTCAATTTCTTCAATAGTTACCAGCCTATTCAGATTTTTTATTCCTCCTGGTTGAGTTTTGGAAGGTCATATTTTTTTAGGAATATGTCCATTTCTTCTAGGTTGACCAGTTTGTTGGAGTAGAGTTGCTCATAGTATTTTTTTTTTTTTTTACAATTCTTCATATTTCTGTGGGGCCTGTTGGCATTTCACCTCTTTTGTTTCTGATTTTGTTTATTTGGGTCCTCTTTCTTTGCTTTTTGGTGAGCCTGGCTAGAGGTTCATCAATCTTGTTTATCCTTTCAAAGAACCAGCTCTTGGTTTCATTAATCTTTTGTAATGGTTTTTTTTTTGTCTCTGTCATTTATTTCCGCTCTGATCTTTATTATTTCCTTCCTTCTGATCACACTGGGCTTTTCTTGTTACTCTCTTTCTAATTCTTCAAGTTGCAGAGTTAGATGGTTTATTACCAGTTTTTCTTGTTTTTTGAGGTAGGACTGTAATACTATGAACTTCCCTCTCAGGACTGCTTTCACTGTGTCCCAAAGATTTTGAAGTGTTGTGTTTTCATTGTTGTTTGTGTCCAGGATGTGTTTTCTTTCTTCTTTGATCTCTTTTGTAACCCACTCATGGTTTAATAGTGTGCTATTCAGCCTTCAAGTGTTTAAATTTTTGTGATTGTTTTTACTGTAGTTGATTTCTAATTTTATGCCATTGTGATCTGAGAAGATGCTTGATATGATTTCAATCCTCTTGAATTTGGAGAGACTTTGCCTGTGACCCAATATGTGGTCTATCTTTGTAAATATTTCATGTGTGCTTGAAAGAATGTATATTCTGTAGTTTTGGGGTGAAATGTTCTGAAGATGTCAAGTCCATCTGATCTAGTGAGTCATTTAAGATTCATGTTTCTTTGCTAATTTTTTTGTCTAGAGGCTTTACCCAGTGATTTTAATAGGGTATTAAAGTCTCCTACTATGATTGTATTGCTGTCAATCTCTCCCCTGATATCTTCCAGAAGTTTTTTTTATGTATTTGGGTTCTCCTGCATTGGGTGCATAAATGTTTACCAGAGTTATGTCCTCTAGTTGTATCAATCCCCTTAGAATTACAAAGTGGCCTTTATTTTCTCCTGTTATGGTCCTCACTTTGAGGTCTACTTTGTCAGATATAAGTATTGCTACCCCAGCTCTTTTTCATTTCCATTTGCCTGATAGATATTTTACATCCCTTTAATTTCAGTCTGTGTGAGTCCCTTGTTCTGAGCTGGGTCCCCTGTAGACAGTATATATATATATAATTTTTTTTATCCATTTATTCACTCAATATCTTTTGATCTTTTGATTGGAGCATTTAATCCATTTACATTTAATGTTATTATTTATAGGTACTTGTTTGTAGCCATTTCTGTACTTTATGTCTGTGTTCCTCCCTTTCTATTTCTTCTTTTTACAGCATTTCCTTTAGCATTTCTTGCATTGCTGGCTTGGTAGTGGTAAACTCCCTTAGCCTTTTTTTTGTCTGCAAAGCTCCTGATGTCCTCTTCAATTTTGATTGATAGTCTTGCTGGATAGAGTATTCTTGGATTCAATCCTTTGCTTTGCATCACTTTGTATACCTCCTTGCATTTCCTTCCAGCTTGATATGTTTCTGTTGAGAAATCATTTGATAATCTGATGGGGGATCCTTTGTAGGTAACTCTCTGTCTTTCTCTTGTAGCCTTTAAGATTCTCTCTTTGTCATTAACATTTGCCATTGTGATTATGACATGTCTTGGTGTGGGTCTTTTGGGATTCATCTTGCTTGGGACTTTCTGTACTTGTGTAACTTTTTTATTCCCCATATCCAGGAAGTTTTCTTTCATTATTTCTTCAAATAGATTTTCTAATCCTTGCTGCTCTTCTTGTCCTTCTGGCAGCCCTATTATACTTATGTTACTTCGTTTCGTGTTGTCCCAAAGCTTCCTTAGGTTCTCCTCCTGCTTTTTAATTTTTTTCTCCAATTGTTGTTCAGATTGAGCTTGTTTCTCTACCTCATCCATCCAGTGTATGAACTGTACGACCATTACTCTGAATTCTTTTCTGTCATGTTGCATGCTTCCATTTCACTTATTTTTTTTCTTGGCAACTCCTCATTTTCTTTCTTCTGGGGATTGTGTCATCTCCCCATTCTGACTATCACCAGAAGGTTCAAACGTCGAGTTGCATGGGCAGTGGGAGCTGCACACATCATGTGCAGTGGGAGCTTCACACCACCTGTCACTGAAGAGCTCCAACACCAAGATGTGTGGCTGCCGTGGGTTGGTGGGAGCCACACTTGCCCAGGATCAGAGTCACCAGCGCTCAGTGTGGCCTCGTGCATGCACCTAGATTCAGGGACCCCACCTGCGCTGCGCTGGAACAGAGACCCCGCTGGCGTGTGCCGAAAATCAGAGTTACCTAGCGTGTGCCAGGAGTCAGAGTTCCCCAGTGCCTGCACCAAGAATTGAGTATCAGAGTCTCTGTTGCTTGGTGTGGCCTCATGTCGAGAATCAGGGTCCCTGTGTGTGCATGCACCAAGAATTGGAGTCACTGGCTCTTAGTGTGAATGCACTGGGAATCCAGGATCCCAGGCGCATGCGATGAGAATCAGAGTCAAGTTACTGGTGCTCAGTGCTGCCTCTCACGTGGAGAATCAGGGTCCCTGGTCTGTTGGGGGACTGGGTTGCACAGTAGCCCTGTGTGGGCAGGAGGTCCACTCCTGCACTGCGGAAAACAGACTTCCATGTGCGCTTGCCCAGAATCGAAGTCAGGTGGCACTGCTGCCTTGCGCAGGCATGGGGTTTGGTCGCCCGATTGCATTGTGGGGAACGGATTCCCAGTGTCCATGAGTGCCCAGGCTCAAATTCCTTTAACGGCACTGCGGCCCTGTGTGAGGGGTAGGTCTAGCAGTTCCTAAGGTGCTGCCGCAAGCCTGCAGGGAGGGGGATGGGCTCTGTGACTCACAGAAATCTGTGGCTGGGATGTCTGGATTCTTGGTGTCTGTGGATCTGCAGCTGTGGTCACAGGTCTCTGTCCCCAGTGGCTTCAGGGTCCTGGTTTGCATCTGAGACCAGACTGGGTGGTGCTGAGGCCAGGATCCTAGTCTCAAGCAGCTCTGTTTTTCAAGATGGCTTGGTCTCTGTGCACATGCTGGCTGCCCTTGGAGTGTCTAGAGTGGCAGCGGGGCTCTGCCATCTAAGACTGCCCGGTTTGGCTGCCCCTTAGAAGACCTGCAGAATCTAACTGTCCCTAGCTCATACACACACACACACACACACACACACACACCACAGATGTCCCCACAGTCCTCTATCACTCCCTCACTCTTTCACACTCTCTCCCTCCCTACCTTTCTGCCAGTCACCATCTTCAGTGTCCCTCCAGTCATTTTGGACATGACAGACCCTGGCTCTTTATATATATCCTCCTTTGTTTCTTGCTGTAACTTCTATTTTAAAGTCAATTTTGTCTGATATATGTATTGCTACCACAACTTTTTTTGTTTCCATTTGCACAAAATATCTTTGACCTGAAGTGGGTCTCTATATGCAGTATATGTATGGCTCTTGTGTTTTCTTATCCATTCAGCTACTCTATGTCTTTTTATTTTATAATTTAATACATTTATATTTTATAGAAGTTTTTTCTCCCACTCCTTGTTTTTTTTTAATAGAATATAGGGAATTCAAAAGTAGGTTTACAGTTGTGAGTACACAGATCAGAATTTATATATATATATATTTAAATTTTTTATTACACAGCCACAGATGATCAACTCTGAAAAGACAAGCCAGGGAGAGAGAAGTAACAGCTGGTCACTTCTGGGGTGGCTCTGGGATACCTTCTTCCCCAAATATATGGTATGTTAAGGTGTGTCAGAAGTTACCATAGTAGAGTTCAACTTTGTTTCTTTCTTGGTAGGCTTTGTTTTTACTTATTTCTTTTTTAAATTTACCTTTATTGTTGAAAGTATTAGAGATGTCCCCTTCGGGTTTTTTATTGTATTTTTCCCATTGACTCCCACCACCCCCTACCTGCCCCTCCGAAATCTACACCACACTATTGTCTGGGTCCATGGGCTATGCCTATATGCATATAAATTCCCCTGTTAATCTCTCCCCTCGCAATCCCCCAAACCCCTCTTTCCCTCTGAAATTCATCAGTCTGTTCCATGGTTCTATGTTTCTGGATCTATCAGTTTATTTGTTTTTTAGATTCCACATATAAGTGTGATCATATGATACCTATTTTTCTCTGACTGTCTTATTTTGTTTAGCATAATACTCTCCAGGTCCATCTATTCTGTTGCAAATGGTAAGAGTTCCTTCTTTTTTACTGCCGCACATTATTTCATTGTATAAATGTACAGCATCGTTTTTGTCCACTCATCTGCTGATGGGCACTGGGGTTGTTTCCAAATCTTATAAATTGCATTGCTACAAACATAGGGGTGCACACAGTCTTTCTGATTGGTGTTTTGACTTTCTTAGGATGTATTCCTAGAAGTGGGATCACTGGGTCAAATAGCAGTTCCATTTTTAATTTTTTGAGGAAACTCCATACTGTTTTCCACAGTGGCTGTGCCAGTCTACATTCCCACTAGCAGTGTACTAGGGTTCCCTTTTCTTCACATCCTCGTCATCACTTTTTCTTTGTTGATTTATTGATGATAGCCATTCTGACAGATGTGAGGTGAACCTCACTGTCGTTTTAATTTGCATCTCTTGGATGATTAGAGATTTTGAGCATTTTTTCATCTGTCTCTTAGCCTTCATATGTCCACTTTGGAAAAGTATCTATTTAGCCCTGACCAGTTTGTCTCAGTGGATAGAGACGCTCTATGGACTGAAGGGTCCCAGGTTCAATTCCGGTCAAGGGCATGTACCTTGATTGCGGGCACATCCCCAGTGGGGAGTGTGCAGGAGGCAGTCAATCGATGTTTCTCTCTCATCGATGTTTCTAACTCTCTATCCCTCCCCCTCTTCTCTTTGTAAAAAATCAATAAAATATATTTAAAAAAAGAAAAGAGAAGAGAAGTATCTATTTAGGTCCTTTGCCCACCATTTTTTAGTTTGTATTCCTTTTGTTAAGTTGTATAAGTCCCTTATATATTTTGGATATTAACCCTTTATCAGATGTATCATTGCCAAATATGCTCTCTCATACAGTGGGTTCTTTTCATTTTGTTGATGGTTTCTTTTTTCTGTGCAGAAGGTTTTTATTTTGATATAGTCCCATTTGTTTATTTTCTTCTTAGTTTCCTTTGCCCTAGGAGATGTATCCATAAACATATTGCTACAAGAGATGTCTGAGATTGGGCTGCCTATGGTTTCTTCTAGGATTTTAATGGTTTCACAACTTAAATTTATTCATTTTGAGTTTATTCTTGTGTATGGTGTAAGTTTGTAGTCTAGTTTCATTTTTTTTTTCATGTAGTTGTCCAATCTTCCCAATGCTATTTAATTGAAGAGACTGTGTTGACTCCATTGTATGTTCTTGCCTCCTTTGTCAAATATTGATCACAATGGCTTGGGTCTATTTCTGGGTTCTTTATTCTCTTCCATTAATCTAAATGTCTGTTCTTGTGCCAGTACCAGGCTGTTTTGAGTAGAGTGGCTTTGTAGTATAGTATAGCTTGATATCTGGTTTTGTGATCCTCCAACTTTGTTCTTCTGTCTCAGGATTGCTGTGGCTACTTGGGGTCTTTTATGGTTTCATATAAATTTTTGGAGTGTTTGTTTTAGGTCTGTGAAGTATGTATTTTGTATTTTAATAGGGATTGCTTTGAATCTATATATTGCTTTGGGTAGCATGGATTTTTTAATGATGTTGATTCCACCAATCCATGAACTCGGTATATTCTTCCGCTTATTTATATTCCCTTCTATCTCTTTTTTTAATGTTCTATAATTTTCTGAGTACAGGTCTTTTACCTCCTTGGTTAAGTTTATTCCTAAGTATCTTAATTGCTTTGTTGCAATGGTAAATGGGTTTACTTTTTTTCCCTGTTTCTCCGAGTTCATTATTGGTGTATAGAAAATTCCAATAATTCTTGGGTGTTGTTTTGTTTCCTGCTACAATGCCTAATTTATTTATTAAATCTAGTAGTTTTTTAATGGAGTCTTTAGGGTTTTCTTTATGCAATATTATGACATCTGTGAATAATGACTGACAGCTTTACTTCCTCCTTTCCAATTTGGTTGCCTTTTATGTTTTCTTCCTGTCTAATTGCTGTGGATAGGACTTCCAGTACTATGATGAATATGAGTGATGAAAATGGACAACCCTGTCTTCCAGTTTTTAGGGGAAATGGTTTTAGTTATTTCCCATTGAGTATGATGTTGGCTGTAGGTTTGTCATATATGGCCTTTATTATGTTGAGATATGATCCCTCTATTCTGATTTTTTTGAGAGTCTTTTTCAGAAAAGGATGTTGGATTTTGTTGAATGCTTTTTCTGTATCTATTGATATGATCATGTTATTTTTTCTCTTTCAGCTTGTTTATGTGGTGTATCACATTCATTGATTTGTGAATATTATACTAGCCTTGCATCCTTGGAATAAATCTCACTTGGTCGTGCAGTATGATCTTTTTACTATATTACTGGATTCGATTTGCTAATATTATGTTGAGGATTTGAGCATCTATGTTCATCAGAGATATTTGCCTGTAGTTCTTTTTCTTTGTAGTGTCTTTATCTGGTTTTGGAATTAGGATAATGCTGCTTTCATAAACAGAGCTTTGAAGTGTTCCTTCTTCTTGGATTTTTTGGAATAGTTTGAGGAAGATAGGTTTTAGTTCTTTGAATATTTTGTTATTCACAGGAGAAC